TTGTTATTATCTTCCAGACGGATAAAACTGGTTGTGCTTCACAAATTATGAACATGACCGAGTTCTCCCTCAACAAGAGCATGTACGATGACAGTTTTGATGTGAACGCTGAAATAGAAGAGTATGGCACAGGTAGGTCGACCGGATGCCAGATACTGATCGTTGAGTGATCAGCCGCAGTTTCTGATGAGCTGTGATCTCTTTGTTTATTACCATCTAGGGGTCGTTCTCAAAGGCAGCGGGCGGACCAGCTTCAGCAGCCACATCAGAACCGTCACCTTCGAGGACGTACCTGCAGCGTACAAACCTGGCATTCCCTTTGAGGGGAAGGTAATCAGTGCGGGAGCTATAACCCACTGCACAGATAAATGTTTATTTTCATCCATGCTATAGTGGCGTTGTTAAAAATCGTCATGTTCAATGTCGGTTGGTTGCCTCACTACTTTAGAAAATATATCAACAAATATTGGACTGACTCCCATAACATTCAGGGTCCCCACAGGTTTAATCCTATTGATCGTTGTGATCTCATGACTTGAGTTTAAGCTTGCTGATTGAATGTTTCTCCCTGAAATGCTTCGGTTTACGGTTTAGTGGGAGAGTTTCATGGTCATCCAGGTCATCTGTGAAGAAAAGGAACAGGACTTTTACTCCTGAATTTACTTGGGTGGTCAAAATATCTCCATGAAGTAATGTGTGGTTATTTAGGGTCCCCAGAAGATGAATCCTTGTGTTTTTGGTGACACTTAACCTTAATTCCAGCGCCACCAGCACATCAAAATTTATTCTTAACAACACCTATAACAAGGTAGTTTGACAGTTAATAGTCAGATAACCATGACATTTGATGTGAATAATCGTTGTCCCCAGAGGTTGATTTTAATAACTTAAACGACCCTACTTCGAGTGTTGCCAACGGGACAATTTTACAGTTGTGCATATGAAATGTCAAGATCAGTATTTATATCAATAACAGACAGACAGACAAAACTGATTGCTTCCGTGCTCACCAGAGGATGAACCCTTCAAATATCAGACGCTTTATTAGCTTTTCCTCTTGTGCCACCTTCAGGCCTCTGTCACCTTTGCACATAAGACGTCTCACGCTCCCAGAGGGAAACAAACCCTTTTAGCTTTAAACCTAATGACGACCTTGATGTCTTGATACATCTTGAAAGCGTGCTGTCGGTTAGCTTCTACTTTCTGACTTGTCTGCAGGTGAAAGTGGTCGGTCCAGACAATAAACCTGTCGCCAACGAGCCAGTGTACCTGCTTGCTGGCGAGTCACAAAACGCGACCCTCACTACGAACAGCATAGGCATGGCTTCGTTTTCTCTGGACACCTCCCTCTGGAAGGACTCCGTGAATCTGAAGGTTGGTTACCGCTCTTATTCTGCGGCTCCCCTCCCTGGGACCTGTTTATTTCAGTACAGTCAATTCATTAACTGCCAGTTCAGTATCAATTTTACAATCAATATCTAATTAAAGAAACTTTCATCCTATCCATCGTGTGGCCCACACAAGTCTATATTCCTAATTAAAAAAAAAAAAA